ATGAAGATTTGGTAGTAATTAACAAAGTCCAAAAAGTATTGCATATCTTGTATTGTTCTTGGAATCTTTCAATCTATAATAGTTTGGACCTTCTTAAGATCCATCATAAGACCTTTGTTCAAAATGATGTATCCTAAAAAATCAACTTGAATAGTATGGAATACACACTTTTTCAACTTGGCATATAATCTTGCATTTTTAAGTTTTTGTAATACGTGACTAACATGAAGTTTATATTCTTTTATGTTCTTAGAATAAATTAGAATTTTGTCTAAATAAAAAATAATAAAATCATCCACTATTGATATCATTGTAGATTTTGGTATAGATCTTTACTTGATTGAATTGGTCAAGAAGTCTTGAAATGAGTGACAAAGAATACCTATTTTTGATGGTAATCTTATTCAGTCCTCAATAATCCATACACATCTATAGAGATCTATCTTTCTTCTTCACAACTAAGATAGGAGCTCTGGCTCGACGTTTAAAATGGCATATAAAGTTCTTTGCCAAGTTTATATCAATATACTCCTTTAATGTAACCAACTCATTCTGTAATAAACTATAGATTAGTCCAAATGGTAGTTGAGTTCCTTCTTGCAAATCAATTAAACAATCATAAGATGGATGCTTTGGAAGAATATCTGTATTCTTCTTTTCAAAAACGTCTTGGAATTCTTAACATTGGCTAGGAATATCACTTGACATTTTGGATATAGTATATATAGCAAAAGATGATCCTTCTTTTATAACATGCATGAAAGCTCTTGTACCTACTAGTAAAGATTTGGATATACTAGACTTATGTACTTCTATTTCACTAACCCAATCCTAGATCATACTACCAAAAAAGTTAAAATTATGAGAAATCTTATCTATTTGAGGATTATATTTTTCTAGCCATGATAAACTTAAAATAATTGAATTAGATAGAAATCTTATTATATTAAATATTACTATGTTATAATGATCTTTAATTACTACATCTATAGGAACAGTCTCATGGATAATATTTTGAGAAGACAATGAATAACCATCTATAACTTCTACATGTATGGATTTAGTTTTCTTGACTAAAGGTATTTTTTAATTTTTGACAAAATCTTTGTCTATAAAATAGGCTGAGGCTCTTGAATATAATAAAGCAAAGACTTTAAGATTTTTAGGTCCTAAATACACATCTATTGTAAAACAAGATGAGGGGTCTAATGAGAGAATAGGACCTTAATTAGGTGTTGCACATGATTCTACTTGTACAGTCTCTATTATAGTTGGAAAAACTTATTTTTTGATACATTATCTTCTTTGGTAATTGTGCTTCTCATTTTATAATTACATTGCTTCTTTTGATAATATTAAGCAGTGTGCTTAGCTTCTCTATAATATAAACACAAATCCTCTTGGCAATGTCAAGTCTTTTCCTGCTACAAGAGAGATTTAAAACTTATCATATCAATTTGCATTGGTTCTAGCCTTAATGAATATGTTTTAAAAAACTTGAGAGTTGCCACTATTACTTGACTTATTCCTCTCTAGCCAAGTCTTTGTTCTTGACACCTTTAAAATAATTGATTGTTGCATACAATGGCTTGAGCAATAAATTATTCGAAAGATTTTTCTTTCAACATTGTTAATAACAAAACTTTGATGCTATCCTTTAACTTATATCAAAATTGATTGATTAGTGCTTTGTCATTCCAGTCTATGTTGCAAGCAAGGTTTTGGAATTTAGCAGCATATAAGATGGCTATTTGCGATCCTTATCATAAAGATAAGAGTTTGGTCTCTATTACTCATTCTCAATCATTTTTTTTGAATGTAGCCATAAATAATTTTAAGAATGAATTTAAATCATAAAGAAGTCGTGAATTATTTTCTATCAAAGATGCAAATAAAAAAAAAGTACTTTCAAATAGAAATGGGCTTATGAAGCTGACTTGAATAAATCCATGTGCATATTGGAAAGGATATAACCTTAAGTAGAGCTTAATTTCTTATAAAAACCCTCAAAATTTTAATCTTGTTCCATCAAAATTCTTGAACATATTAATTCTTGCCTCTCTTGAGCTTGTAGAAGTAAGACCCCTTGAATTTGGTTACGAGGCTGATCAACTTGTTTCTCTTAACTGCACAACTTCTTGACGTAGACTTTGAACTTTTTTCATAGGTATAGAAGTAGTGCTCCCATAGTTGACATTGGTGATGCATAAAATTTTTGTCCTAAGAGTGCTAACAAACTTGTAAAGATCCACAATAGTTACAAATCTATTCTCACTTCCACCAGGAATAGCATCCATAATCTTTCCTTCCATAGACAATTCAAACAAATCCAAAAAGTTAAATTAGAGGAGGATAATCTACAACCTCTAATAAAAATTTCCTCAAAGAAGGATAATCCACTCTCGTTAAGGAAAAGATTGGTATTAGAAAGTAAGATTTTTTATTTAAAGATAGATAGTCTGTAACCTTCAAAATACAACAATAGAAGTGAGGTGATCTACTCACTTCTAAAACAAGAAAGAAATAGTATATTAACACTCTTGTTAAACTGTCAAGGATGTAAAACTTGAAGAAAGAAAATCCTCAATATACTCTTGTGTCATTGAAGAGAACTAAAAAGTCACTCAAAAGATGATGTAATATTAAACTACAATGGCTATTGCTAAAAACAAAAAGACTAAAAAGTCTTAAAATAAGACTAAGGACTAAAAAAGCATTGACAAGAGTGAAGAAGACTTTACTCTTAACTAAGAGCTACATGGCGATGTCCTATAGGACCTTCAAAACGTGTTGACTTTGCTAGCCACATGTCTTAACTTGTAAGGCAAGTTTTCTATGTATGCGCCACAAGCTACTATACGGAATTAACTTGTTCCACAAGCTATCAATACAAGGTTAACTTGTTCACCATATTTCTAACCTATAAACACATCTAAAGTCAAATCTGCATCTATGAAGCTTTTAGGAAGCTTTTCTAAAAGACTTCATGAAATTAATCTATATTTTCCTATTTCTACTTAATCGTATAAGTAATTATTGGGATAAATGTATATGGTCGTGACAATTTAGTATGTTCCTTTATCAAACTCCTTATGTATTATCTATCATCACCAACTTAAAGCTCCATAATTGTAATTCTATGAAAATGCTACTCCTACAAAACCTACAGTTCAAAAAAGATATAATATTATTACCTACCAATTCTCACTTATATCAAAAAAATTGTTGAAAATTTTAATTTTTTTTACAAATATCAAATGGAATATTGCTTTTGTTATCAATTTGGTATCTCACTTCACCAAAAGACCGCAAATTGTTCATTTGCAAATAATAAAGTCAATTGTATAATATATCAAGGACATTCTTGATTATAGACTATTTTATTGACAAGCCATCACATTTGATCTTCACTATCAAATGACCAAAGGGCTATAAAAATATCTCATAATCCCATATTTTATTCCAAGATAGAGTATTTTGAAATATATTTGTATTTTTTGAGAGACATAATTGAAAAAAATCAAGTTCAAATAATTTGTATTCCTATAGATCAACAATCACAGGATGTATTGACAAAAGCATTAGAAAAAACGAAGTTTAAAAATAGATTCAAATTTCTAAAATCTTTGAGATTAATCTATTAGATACTTCTTAAAAAACTTTAAGCCTCAAACAATGAGCAAAAGCTCTTAATCATCGTTCTTCTAAAACCAATGACTTGATTGATACAAAGATATCAAGAATAGTAGATATCTAGCTCACAACCTATTCTAATAGCACACTACTCTAAAACCCCTTAACTTTGTACTTGGAATAATATAGTACAAACTTTGTACTTGGAATAGTAACTCCAAATAATTGTCTGTTGAGAAGCCTGTTGTATATGGGAATGGTATAAACTCTTAAGTATAAAACTTGGCCAAAACATCTGGTCAAGGAGCTGTTGCATAGGCCTCACACAGGTGCTATTCAAGTAAGATCTCATTTCATCAAACCACACACATGACTGACTATCAAGGTTATTTTGGTCACGTTATTCTGGAAATCAGTTGTTAAGCAACTCTTCCAGAATATGAGTGTGCTAGCCTCCTTCATTTTAATCCAAAAGTTAATTGCAACTTTAAAGGATTTGTCATTCATTGTGAATATTCTGCAGGGGATGTTGGAGAGAGATACCCTGGCTAGTCAAGATACTCGCCGTTCCAATACCTTCATGCTCAAAAATTGCTCGACTGTTCTCAGATTATGAATGTGACTGGAGGCGGCTGACGTACTGTTGAATGAAGTTGTGGAGGTAAAATCGCATATTTCCCTCTCTTGACAAATACGATACGAATGGCAAGAGAAGAAAATTGCGCCACCAGTATTCAGATTCGTTAACCTGAAACAATGCATACCAAGATTAGACACAGGATGTGCGTGGAATTCATAACAACACCATTGTGGACCCGATAGAAGTGAATGTAGAGCCCCGACCCCAAAGCACCCTCGAGCCGCAGGTCAAATCTCAACGACTAAATGCTGGGCCGATCCCCTACAATTTTACCAAAACAATCAACGCCACCGTACTACCCGGATACCCAATGGACGAGATTATGACATTTTTGGCGACGTTCCAAACGGTGCTCTGCAGCACTCTCATCGCTACGGAAATGCTGCATCAGGGGTTGTGGGTCTGATACGCACGATCTTGTGACTTCTGAACGCGGTTTGCTGCAGACGTACATGATACTTCAGGGAATATTTTCAGTTGTGCTATTACTACTCGTTACTATACGTCAGCATCGCACCATAACAGCTCCGATTGGTATCACTCTCACATCCACTTCAGCCAATGAGTCCGGCAATTCATTTGGGGTGTTGGGCATTACGCTTGAAACGACTCACTCTTCAACAGTGTGTCTGTGCTGCGACAATACCCAACGTTGAAGGCCTACAAATTCACTTCAAGCGAGAGTATAAAATGTCGAAAATTCCAAGAGACACCGTAAGCAAAGTCGTCAACAAGGTTGAAATTAAATCATAAAAAATATAACTAACGACAAAATGAGGAACCAAAATTCTGCCAATTGGAGCAGATTTAAATTCCAACCTCATCAATAGTTTGTGAAAAACTGCTGACAGCAGAGACGCCTATCACCAATCTGCGAATGGGCATCATTGCGACTGCGGAGCCCCAACGAAACAGAAATGATTACTCACTATTCCTGGTCAGAATGTGCTAGTGGGATTGTTTCAAAATCGAGGCACTAGCAAAACAATTGCTGACAATATTGTGGTGCCTCGTTTCTGCTATGATTCTAAACCAGCATCTAATCACGATGCAGATATTTGATATACCTACTCTATAAGACTGCTATCTTCACTGTGACATCAACCCATAATTTCTTGCAACGACCATCAAGATTTCTAAAAGAAATGCCATTTATCAGCCAGACTAGAGACTACGAATAGAGATGACATGCCCCTCTACACAGTGTACGACTGTTGAATCATATCGACGTCGAGATTCTTCAGACGAACCACCGATTCTACATGTCCCTTCAAAGTGTTTAACTCACGCAGCCTGCAGCGTGAAAACTCAACATCAGTGATCATTTCTGAGACGAAAAATAAGTCTATGTCCTTGAAGGCAAGATATAGAACCATATGCTGAAGATGCATGAGTTCAGGTCTACAATCAAATGGATAACATCGAAGATCCAAAGAAGATTACAAAACACAAATAATAAAATATAGAAGATAATTCATATGCACCTTGCAATTTCAGCCCTCCTCTTAGCCTGCTCTGCCATGAATCCAAGTTCTTTGTTACCGCTAGTGGTGGCAGCGGCATCATCCTTAGATTGGGGAGGATGCAGTCCATGCAATGTCCGCTGAGCATGAGCCCATTGGGCTTCACGTGCCTCTTTTCCGAAGTCCTTCTGGGTTGTGAAAGCAGTCTGTACAATCCACCAATTAGATCAAGGTTAGCTGTTGCAGCTCTCACACGACAAGCTTCGAAAAAAATATTTCTATCGAACAGATCTATTTGTAGCAAGAACGTCCCGAGCACAAGTTATACCTTGCGGTTAATCAAATTATTCCAAGCCTTTCCACTTTGAATGTATCGAACAGTAAACTTCAAAATATCCAGAGGAATGTAAGTGACGATGCTGAATAGCCAGACGATTCCGGCCCAGCCCCACCCACAACCTTGAATGTGAGCAAATCCCCAATTAGCATACACTGCAATGAACGTCGCAATCTGTGGAAAAGACAGATTAATGTAAGCATCGACTTCATTCATTCATGTTCTAGAAGTCTCACGAAACCTTACAACTAGTCTGCTACACAAGTAAGGCGCAAAACGAGATCACACAACCCAACGATTGAAAGGAGAGTAGCGAGTTCAATGTAACTGAAGCATATGTATCGAGTTGTTGAAGCTGAAATGATGACGAAAAACACTTACCAGCTGAGCAGACAGAAATGCGAACATCAGGAGGGCTCCTGGTCTCTCAACGAATGACCAGCTCTGGGAACGAGTGACAAAAATAAGAGCTTGACTAATAATGCTGACTTGCAGATAGATGGCCGCAGTCATCTCGCCGTGGCTATTGCCAATGTTTCTAACCCCAAAGCGGTCCTGCGCGACATGCAAATTCATCAGCTGCTGGCATTTGTAGAAACATAAAAACTGCATCTGGAACCAAAAAATAACATTTATTGTCCACAGCCTGTGGGTGACAAACGTAACCACTGTATACATGATAACTCGTTCAAAATAATCTCTTGATAATTTAAACTCATGAACAGGGCAAAGCTAGTTACAACCTACATCAACCACATCTTAGACATCTGCGAAGAAACCTTAGGGGTTAAGATCCTACAACGCACCAATCACCAATCGCCGACATTCAAGTTATGATGCATGGAAATGAGATCCTGTACCGGGAAAAATGTAGTCTCGTGCATGATCCAGAAGAACAGAACCGTCATCAGGGCCATGTAGGTGCCGAGTACGACACCGATGGAGAAAATTTCTCGCAACTTCCAGCTGTCTGGCAGAGGAGATGGCTTAACGCGATCCTTGGCGATGGTCATAATAGTACCTGTCCCACACAAACATGAAATAGCTATTACTCACTTGACTACTCCGTTTACACACCGGATGAAATGATGAAATTTTGATGCTGAAACTAGATAATGCCTGAAGGGTTGCCCCGAACCATGATTACGAGGTCATAATATACATCAGAGGACCCAATGCGATCCTCAAACTGAACTGAATTCGTAAAGAAAGAGCAAAAATGCACACATACCGTCATTAAGAATAGCAATAACAAGGACCATGAATGGTGAAAAGTCAAACTGCCAGATTAAGGCCAAAAGCATAAACCCAAGCTGCAAACGAAAATACGCTATCAGGCCACATTATTATCACACGAAAACAATGTCATTTATAACATCTACAACAAACACACCACCACAAGAAAATTCTGTAACTCAGAGAAAGGGTTTAGCAGCAATCTGAACAGTTTGAGTAGCGCAAAAATAATATTTACCACTATACGAATGGTGATGGAAACAGCATAGATCTGCAGACCCACCATGACAGAGAAATATATCGTTAAATGTTGTGAGAAGGGTACATGCATGCCGCAGTGTAGGAGGAGATAATATCGGACTTACAAAGTTCTACCAATTCATTGCGGAACAGTATGGAATGCATTCAATACAAGGGAAATGAGCCAAAGGAAAAGCGGCATTTAAAAAGCACAGATATCTGGTCTCATCACACACACCGTGTAGTTCTTCATACGCTGGAAAATGGCTCGACTGGTCAACACAGCACTAATAATGACACTGAGCCCAGGTTCTGTTAGCACGATATCAGAAGCACTGCGAGCAGCATCAGTAGCATCTGCAACAGCAATACCAATGTCGGCCTTCTTCAAAGCAGGAGCATCATTCACACCATCGCCGGTCATACCAACAATGTGCTTTTTATCCTGCAACTTCTTGACGATTTCATACTTGTGCTCTGGAAACACCCCTGCAAATCCATCCGCCTTCTCAATCAACTCGTCCACAGGTAAAGCGGCAATCGCTTCATCCTTGTGTGCTCCTAGTAGAGAGGACGATGGATACATGTTGGTCCCCATGCCCAGCCTTCGGCCTGTCTCCTTTCCAATAGCCAGCTGATCACCTGAAACAAATTGCTACGTATTAGCAAACTGTAGCAGGTTACACACATGGTTACTGTGCACTGGAAACCCGGATGCTAAAGATATATATACTTCAGTCTTGAAGAGCAATGTACCTGTAATCATCTTCACACTAACTCCCAAGTTAAGGGCCCGACGAATGGTCTCAGCACTATCATGTCGGGGTGGGTCAAAAAGAGGCAACAAACCAAGGAACTCCCAGGGGCCACCGGCGCCATCCTTGGAGCGTTCAGGAACTTCCTGTATTCAAAAACAAGTCTAATAGATTTAGAACGTTTTCTCAACCCAAAGCAATATTACTGAGCGAATAAAATCAAATTTTAACGTAAAAACCGTAGTTTGGACTCGCAGAACGAAAGAGGATGTGCAAGGTATATTAGGACGACGCCACATCCTCACCAAAGCATTCCGTTAGGGCAATATTCCATTATTTGGAGTCTGCTAAGAAATAGTGATCGCATTAGTTGGCTTTTGTCTGTACTTGCCTGTCTAGCTACAGCCAACGAACGCAACCCCCGTTCAGCAAACTTGTCTATAATCGAGTGCACTCGTGCAGCAATCTCGGTTTTGTTGTGAGCCAGTTCCAGAATCTGCTCGGGAGCTCCCTTGCTAGATCGATACCACTTGCCATCGACACTATCAATGTATGTAATAGCGGTACGCTTGTCAACAGGATTGAAAGGAAGGAAGTGTACTTCTTGAATACCAGCACGTGCCTGCAAAAGTAACAAAAAGTGCTCATGCATTATCCATATATAATGCTCAACTTCAACAAATCATAGAAACCACATCATAAGCATGACGGAAAAGAGGACATAAACTAAATCCTAGCTGATCCTAGATAGGGTTCTTACCTCTTTCGGATCAGCTAACACTCCAACGATGCATGTATCAATGGCGTCTTGATTCTCTATCCTGGAAGCTCGAGCAGCCATTAAGCACACCATATCCTTGTCAACACCTTTCATAAATGTCTCTACAAGGTTCTTGTCAACAGTCAATTTGTTGAGGGTTAGGGTTCCCGTCTTGTCACTGCACAACACATCCATACCTGCCATCTCTTCGATAGCAGTCATACGTTTCGTGATGGCACCCTGCACGATTCATGTTCAGCACAAAATATGAATTAGCATCACAAGGGCTTGCCATCACATCAAATTCAACTTACAACCTTCCATTATTATAAGATCTGCGGAAATAAAAGGAACAGCCCCAGTCACCGATAGTCTTTTTATAAATACCTGTTGTGAAAGACGGTGAGAACCAATAGCCATTGTCACTGAAAGCACGGTAGGCATCGCAATTGGAATGCCTCCAATGAGCAACACCAAAAGGTTATCAATACCATCTCTGTAGCCACGCTTCTGGATAGGCCACATCACAATGATCTCAATAACGATTCCAATCGCAATGGACACGATGCAGAAGTTTCCAATAGAAGTCAACACCTTCTGGAAATGGCCCACGTTGTTGGTGGAGTCTACCAAATGCGCAGCCTTGCCAAAGAAAGTATGGACACCAGTAGCAATAACAACGGCCTCAATCTCTCCTTGTTTGCAGGTGGATCCTGAAAATACTTCATCTCCGGGCTTCTTGGTAGCAGGGAGTGACTCTCCCGTCAAAGCTGACTGCGACGGAAACAACCAATACTGTTAGAAGTGCTCAAGCCTCCGCAAAGACAAATCGGTAGCCTCACTTCAGCTCAGATTAATTTAATGATTGAGGGCAAGACACCCAGCGTAGTAGATTGCCCTAGCATGAATTTGTATCGAACGATACCTGGTCGATTTTCAACGGGTCACCTTCAAGGAGTCGTGCATCTGCAGGGACGATATCACCTAGCTTGATACTGATGATATCACCAGGAACCAAAATAGCTGCATCACGTTCAGCCCAGGCGCCATCACGCAACACCTGTACAGTGATGATTCGGGGATCTACAGCTGAGAGAGTACATCGCCGAAACGTGCAAAAGATGTTGTGTAGTACACTTCCATTTAATTAATGTGTTAAGACTATCAAGCCGCAATCATACCACGATTCCGAGCAACATCTTCTACATAGAAAGATTCACTTGCTATACACTTTAGTGAAGAGCTACAAAGTCTTGAGAGCCACCTTCGTTTGAGGAGCGAGTCGTGCCATGAGAGAAGCAGCTGCCTGGCCAGCGTTATTCTCTTCAATAAAACTAATGGTCGAATTGATGATCAACAACACAATGATTCCCACAAAATCTTGCCAATCAGGTGGCCGTCCCTGCAAAAATCCCTGTTCGTCAGAAATCGAAAAATAACGCACCAACAGGCATTCTCCGCCTGCAAAGCAAGACCTGCCTTGCTGATATTGTAAAACAAAAATGACTTGCGACTTTAAATGTGAGATCTTACCCCTCCGTTCGCAAGAGCGATGGCCATGATAGCAGCAGCCTCCATAACCCACGATAAAGGGTTCCACATAAACCCCAAGAATTTGAGAATTTTACTTTCCTGGAGAACCGAGCATGCAAAAATTGGTGGACGGCCATGTGCAGAATCCCTCAAGTGTAGAGGAAGAAGAAGAAGAAGAACTTACACCACTGGAAAGAACGAGGCTGCTTACGACACGAACTGCAAACCACTTAAAAAGATCCCAAACAATGTCAAGAGTTGAAATAATACGCACCGATTTCTCTTCGAGCTTGTTAGGGCCACAGATCTTAATTCGCTGTTCCCCCTCCGCATCGGTCAAACCCTGTCTTGTACACCTCAATTGCTCAAATACCTCCTCAACCGGAATGTGTTCCTGCGTTCAACAACAGCAACTCGATTACTGTATACTTTGATACCATGCCCTGGCAGTGTTGGTTCATTACTCTTTAGCTATGCTGCAATGGGTCGTTACTGCATACCCACTTTTACTTCCACGAGTTCATATTAAGATTCTTTTCCAGAACATGTATAATTGCATGAAATTCATATTAATTGAGACGTACAAGCGTATCTCAACCCGTATTTCGTCTCATTACCATGTACTGCTAAAATAAACAAGAGTAAGTGGTTTACTGTTACTTGCTGAACAAATGTAACACAAAACTCGAAAGTTCGCTCTCGAAAGTTGAAATTTTTTGTCATCTGACATATTTCTTCAAAAAAGAGGACCTTGTGGGTTATTTGCAACGTTCTTCTAGAAAGCTACAATCGAACAAGTTCAGTTGGCCTGGTATATCCATCACCTAAGCACTTCAAGAATGCACAAGCTACCGGGACATTACAAATGAGTGAACATTCTGACAGACAGGGCTCTCTGTACGAGCATTCCCAAAGAGAATCACAGCCATTATCCGTGGAAGCTGAAAGCAGCTCCTCATGTTGTATTCCTACGCAAATTTGGATAACTCCCTTCACGAGTCACCAAGGTACTTATTCAATACTTAACGTGGCGCAATTGAATGATAACTACGCAACCATAAGGAGATCTCCGAAACGAAGCACAAGATGACTTGAACTCTCGGAGAACCGATCTACACCCGCGTGTAGGTAATACACTCCCAGGAGAGGATCCAGTGGTAGGGTGAAAGGAATCAGTGCTTCCTCCGACTGTCTCGAAACTGAAGCGCACTACAATTCGGACCAGCTTCACAAGGTCGCGACCCTCGCAAACCAAAGCAGCACTTCGCAAGTAATCAATGCTACATTCGTAGTGCTACAGAATCGTAAGTTTCTTTGAAACGGCAATCATTCATCACTCGTTTGCTGGCCGTCAAGCCTGCAACCCGACAACGAGCCGCGCGCGACAGAGGTAAGCGCGAACTCACCAGGTCCACAGTCTCGTTGTTGAGCGCCTGAAGCGCCTCCATGTTGTTCCCCTTGTCGCCATCAACAAGCGTGTTGTCATTGTGAGTCTGAGCCATCTTCCCTGCAGCAGCACGAGCTGCGGTAGAAGGCAAGCGATCCAAGAAAGGCACGGCAACGCACCTCAAGACTCACTAACTCAAAGCATGGACACAGACACAAAGAAACTGCGTCACCACATTGACACAACACGAGCGGCAGGAAATGGAATGACGATGGCTACTCCTCTCCAAGCGCTCTCATCAATCAGAGCTTGAAAGGAGCAGGCAAAGTCTCCGCGCAGCACGAGATGCATTAATACCCCACCTACAGGGACGCAGCGTAAAGGAGCGAGAAGCCCGGGAGGAGTCTCGTCTCGTCTGGTCTCGGCCCGTCCCGTTACGAAGGCGACCCGCCGTGATTTGCCGGAGACTCCAGGCACCTCCGGAGCGTCGCCATGACACTGGGACCCCCTCCCGCAGAGCAGCGCAGCGAGCGCATCGCGTGCAGGGAACACCGGCCAGGCCGGGGAGGGGGAGCGCGGGGGTGGAAGGCTCGCCAGGCCAGCGAGCGAGGCATTAATTTTGGGGTAAGGCACCAAAATTGATCTCAGTATCAACAGTAACAGTTTTGCTATTATTAGCCCCACGAGGGCCCCACTCGTTTCCGTCCAGCTTCTGTAGATTTAGTAACCTCTCCTGCACTCCCCCCTTTGTGGGGCCCCTCCCTCAGTGGCCACCCCTCCGCTGCTGCTAGAGCCCCCCCCCCCCTGCGCCCCCTTGCCTGCCCTTTCTTTAGCACCCGCCCTTGCCCGGCCCGGCCCCGGTTGTCCAAGGGCCCCTCCTCTTCTCCCTGCCTCGCACCCCTGATGTCCCTCCCACATCGTCCTGAACAATCAAGCGTGGGTCCAGAGTCCATTGCAGAGGCCCTGCCTCAAGTCCCACGCTCTCTCTTCCTCGCTGCTTCGGCCTCCTATGTTAACCATAGGGAAGCAAGGTGCTGCCCTCAAAGAAGTCAATGATTGCAACAAACATAACTGCCGTGTGTATCTGTCAAGCGGGCGATGGATCCTCAGCCTCCTTTTGTATTCATACACTCTCTTCCAGCACAGTAAAATCATGGAAAGCAAGCAGAGCAGTGGATTCATGAGAGTGCAGTGCTGCAGAAACCAATCTGCTTTAATTGAAGCCGGATCCCCAGGTTGACAATAGCAGCCAGCCCCCTTTCTGCAGCATTGACCCTGCCTCCCTCCCCGCCTGTGTCTATATGATTCATGGAGTCATGTCCAAGGGTGTGCTGCCAACCCCTCTTCATCCTAGTCTTCACCAATGCTTCTACTGCAGCTATACTACCACAGCCTTGCTTTTCATGATTGAGGCAACAGAGAGAGATGCATCCCAGTTCAGGTAAAGATCTCTCTCTATCTCTCTCTCTCCCCCCCCCCCCCCCCTGTGCCCAGGGTCTCAGCCCTGCCCATCCCTCACCCTCCACTTCCAGTACATATTCCAATCCTTGGGATAATTCTGCTTGAAATAACATATCCTCCTCCACAGAGTTAACTTAGTTACAGAAATAAATCATCAAACCAAGTACAACAGAACATTGTACCCTTTCAAGACATAGGTACAAACTTTGAAGAATCCAAGGATTCATTGTACTTCATGCCACAGCACCTTCCACCCCATGTGTTTTGATTCATGATTCTAGTTGTAGTGTACGTTTTGGAAGGCAATGAAAAGGTGAGTTGAAGATGCATACAAAAGCACTATGCTCCTCTTCTTGGCATCTTCTTTTGTTTTTGACATGGCAGAATGTTTTGCTTGAATACTTGCAAAGTGAAGCATGGATGCTCCAAAGTAAATAATGACTTCAAAATATACCTGAACCTAAATTTTTTCTATTCTAATTTGGAATTTTCTCATGTGTAATTTTGGCTAATTAAATAAATAAGATAATATAAACTTATTCCATGTGTGATTTTTATATTATTCTATTTATATGTGATTTTGAATAAATATTTTTTTTATATTATTTCATGTGTGAATTTGAATAATTAATAATCAGTTATAAGAACTGAAGTAATAGCTCAAATTGAAAAGAAGAATACCAAAGAAGAACTGTTAATATTTTAGAATCTAAAAATGAATAAAAGTTAGTGTTATAATATAAGGTTATACATTCTAAATGACATATGTCATAATATATGTACATGTATGTGTATATATATTTATTTATTTATTTAGATAGATAGATAGAAAGATAGGTAGGTATATTCAGAATAGAATCACATATCTGTGGTATATAAATAAAAATTGAGACAATCGTTTTATATAAAATCAGACAAATTCTTAAGATATAAATGAATAAGAAAAATAATAATGAAAAAAACATATTAAAAATTATGATTCAAAATACATAAATATTATCTAAAACTGGCTTCTATAACTAAATAAGACATAGAATTACATGGAGTTTATTCACAAATCTTTTATTCAAAACATTGTTGCAAAATGGTAGATTAAATTCTGATACTACCTTATCAACTTTTGAAGTATTTTAATTTAGAAAACATTTCCTTTTGACATCAAGATGTTGATATATGCTATATTTGAGTTATACACAAGTTTAATGAGATGATGGTGATACTTCAAACTAACAAATCTAAATCATACTTGGTGCTATATTTTTTTTTTTTTATACTTTAGGTACAATTTTAAAAATCGTCTTTTCATATTCCTGAATAATATCAGATTATTTTTTTTGAATGTTCATCAATTTTTATTTAAATAACAGTGTATTCAGAAATATTCCTAAATTACATCTTTTTAGATCCTACTTAAAAAAACATTTGGGTGTTCCAACCCAAAGCACCCTTGGTACAAATTAGACATCCTGTGTACTTGTTTAAAATAAAAATTCACTAATATGTATAATAGATATGTTACAGTTTTATAAACCTTGAGAAATTCAACATCTGTAATTCTTGAAAACAATCACCAAGTGAAGAAAGCACCAATAGTTCAGAGTTGTTCAATGTTAGTGACTAATGCAGATTGAACAAATGGGTTGATTGATTGACATCCCTAGTGCTGAAAGTAAGACTCAAAGCAGCAGATGGAAAAGAAGAAGTGAGCAAGCTAGTCTCAGTGTGATCAAAATAGATTTCTTTAGAAAGTGAGAGACCTTGCTGCACAAGTGTGGAAGACAAGGAACAAAACTGATGCAGTGCATGAGGATGATGCAGACCAAACTCTCATCATCTACATGCACTGAGTTACAAGAAGAAAACATGTGTTTCAAGTCTTTGGAGCCCATGTTTTTCTAGGACTGGGCTCATTCACCGGACACACCTGCTCCTCTCGAAACACGGCTGGTTGTTCTCTACACAAATTCTGTTTTTAATATCTAGTTACGAGTTGTTGCAATGGTCCAATATCTATCCATGATGATGGTATTGTCTTTTTCACCCCATTGTCCTCCTCTTCCTATTTCTTCTCCAATCTACATGATATGGCTGAGATTGCACCACATTAGTCAACACAAGCTCCGGCCATTCTCATTGCTAAGCTTTTTATGGCGACAGTAAACAGAATTACTAAAACTAGGCCAAGACTGAATTAGACTCTTAGCACATTTGCTTCTGGTGCTTTAGACTGTGTAGGACTGCTGGATCATGTCGATGTCCAGGTTCTTGAGCCGGACAACCGATTCCACATGTCCCTTGAGAGTGTTATGCTCGCGCAGCCTGGCGATCTCGGCCCTCCGCTTGGCCTGCTCCGCCATGTCTCCCAGCTCTCCCCTGGTACCGCTGCCGCTCGATATGCCGACGTCGTCCTTGGATTCCGGTGGATGCAGCCCGTGCAATGTTCTCTGTGCATGCGCCCACTGCGCTTCCCGAGCTTCCTTTCCAAAGTCCTTCTGCCTCGTGAATGCCGTCTGTTTAAGGAGGGCCACAACCACGATGCATTATTGTCTCATTGTTATCCGATTGCCCATTCCAATTCTTCAACACTATCAGTGCGGCAACATACGAAAATATATATATATATATATATATATATATATATATATATATCCTAAATACATGAATTAATCATACCCTGCGCTCAATCAAATTGTCCCAGGCCTTTCCACTTTGAATGTAACGGACAAAGAACTTGATGATATCGAGAGGAAGGTAAGTGACTATGCTGTATAGCCAGATGACTCCAGCCCAGCCCCATCCAATGCCTTTGATACTGGCAAATCCCCAGTTCGCATACACTGAAATGAATGTGGCAATCTGCAGAACACGCCAAGGTTCTTGTAAGGGTTCTTCTCTCGTCAAAACCAACAGATAATTTTTTTAGGCAGCGCCCATCTTGTACATGAATCAGTGAATGATGATGTCTTACCAGCTGAGCAGCCACAAATGCAAACATGAGCAACCCTCCTGGTCTCTCCATAAAAGACCAACTTCGTGAACGTGTGACGAAAATTAGAGCCTGACTGATGATGCTGACTTGTAGGTAAATTGCTGCTGTCATTTGGTCACTACTCCGCCCGATGTGTCTCACCCCGAATCGGTCCTGTAGACAATGGCCACCATTCATGAAATTAATAATCCTGGTTCAGGTGTGTTCCAATTAGTAATGAAACAAGCCAAATATTTCAATTTGGTATTTCTGAGGTGAAGTACGCAATGAAAAAGGAAAACATAAATAGGATAAAATTAGGCATTTACAGTGAAAAAGCTCGTCTCGTGCATGAGCCAGAAGAAGAGAACTGTCATCAACGCCATGTAAGTACCCAGCACAACACCGATGGAGAAAATTTCTCTCAACTTCCAGCTGTCTGGCAAAGGAGATGGCTTTACACGATCCTTTGAGATGGTCATGATGGTACCTGCCTCATACAATCAGTTCATCACTGAGTTTAATAGAAGAAAAAAAAAAAAAAAAAAAAAAAAAAAAACGGAAATGTTGCATCACAGGTTACACAATAGATCCTCTACATTCCTCACAAAGTGATGATGAAGCTATACCATCGTTGAGGATGGCGATGACCAGAATCATGAATGGAGAAAAGTCAAATTTCCAGATCAAGGCCAGCAGCAAGAATCCCATCTGTACCACCATTCCAACCACAAGAACCTTCAGTATCACAAGAATAATAGAAGCAAGACCAAGCAACGATGGTACCGTAGCATTTCAAGTGCATTTTCAGTGAACTCATAAAAAATTGTAAATAAAAACCGGATGCACGCACAGAATTGAAGTTTGAAGGATTACTTACAACTATACGAATGGTAATGGAAACAGCATATATCTGCAGGAACATCAAATCCCCACCCCACACAAATTGGTCATGTCCTGGTACATCGAATGTCACATCTTGCCAATCAAACAGACAATGAGTCTCACAGTATTATTGAAAAGAGTACACACCGTGTAGTTCTTCATCCGCTGGAAAATTGCTCGGCTTGTCAAGACAGCACTAATGATGACACTGAGCCCCGGTTCAGTGAGCACAATATCAGAGGCACTTCGGGCAGCATCAGTTGCATCAGCCACTGCAATTCCAATGTCTGCTTTCTTTAATGCAGGAGCATCATTTACACCGTCACCCGTCATTCCTACAATGTGCTTCAAACCTTGCAACCTTGCAACGATTTCGTACTTGTGCTCTGCATTTCAACATGACCGCATTGTGTTAGCGAGTTACCCTCCACATAACCAACAAAAAAAAAATCATCTCAAAATTAGACTGCATAATTCAAAATGTCTTACCAGGAAAGACGCCTGCAAAGCCATCCGCCTTCTCAATGAGCTCGTCCACGGGCAGAGCTGCAATGCTCTCATCTTTGTGTGCCCCGAGTAGAGATGATGAGGGGTACATGTTGGTTCCCATGCCCAAGCGTCGTCCTGTCTCCTTTCCGATGGCAAGCTGATCACCTGTCAACAACATACGTTTGTGACCGATTCAGATTTATCCACCACTCAAACACACAGCTATGGGAACCAGAGGAAAATCAATTGAATCCAACTTACCCGTAATCATCTTCACACTAACTCCCAGATTCAAAGCCCTTCGAATTGTTTCAGCACTGTCATGTCGGGGAGGGTCAAAAAGGGGCATCAAGCCTAGAAACTGCCAGGGTGTACCAGGATCCTCTTTGCTTTTCCCCGGAACTTCCTGCCTAGCTACAGCCAAGGAACGCAGACCACGTTCCGCGAATTTGTCAATGATCGAATGCACACGCGCAGAAATGTCCGTTTTGTTGTGGGCAAGGTCAAGAATCTGCTCAGGAGCTCCCTTGCTAGATCGGTACCACTTGCCGTCAGCATTGTCGATGTATGTGATAGCGGTTCGCTTGTCGACAGGATTGAAAGGGAGAAAGTGAATTTCTTGAATCCCTGCACGAGCCTGCAAGTCAACCATACAAAGTCATGTATTTTACGTGTTTACATCGCAAGAACACAGCTACTTCAGGTAAAGCAGACTACTATTTTAAATGTTATTACAAGATGATCCAATGCACACCTCCTTTGGATCGGCAAGAATTGAAACAATGGCCGTATCAATAGCATCCTGGTTCTCCAATCTGGATGCCCGAGCAGCCATCAAGCACACCAGGTCCTTGTCAACACCTTTTGTGAAACACTGCACAGAAATGTAATTCAATCAGAAATAATGATTCGACAAGTTCACCAACGTGTTCGAGGAAACAGTTTTCCCACCAAAACAAAGAAAGCAATTGACGCGAGAGGGCAAAGTTTTGTACCTCCACCAAGTTCTTGTCAACGGTCAACTTGTTAAGGGTGAGTGTCCCGGTCTTATCACTACACAGCACGTCCATGCCTGCCATCTCCTCAATAGCAGTCATACGTTTCGTAATGGCTCCCTGAATACAATACCCACCTCCACTTAGTGGGCCATTTATTTTCCAAGACTTTGAGCAACACGGTTCACTGTTTTAAAATGATCCAAAGTACTCAATTCACCTTCCAGAATGAGGAATGATCATTGATATTTATTACCACATCTATAAATCTAGAAGATCCTTTAAAATGGTCAAATATAGTACCTGTTGAGAAAGCCTATGGGATCCAATAGCCATTGTCACGGAGAGTACAGTGGGCATGGCAATGGGAATGCCTCCAATGAGCAACACCAACAGATTGTTGATTCCATCTCGGTATTTGCGGTGCTGAATGGGGTACATCACAATAATTTCGATGACGATACCAATGGCGATGGAAACGATACAGAAGTTTCCGATCGATTTCAGCACCTTCTGGAAGTGGCCCACATTGTTTGTGGAGTCTACCAAGTGAGCGGCCTTCCCGAAAAACGTGTGCACACCTGTGGCAATAACTACAGCCTCAATCTCCCCTTGTTTACATGTCGATCCTGAGTATACTTCGTCTCCCGGTTTCTTGGTAGCAGGTAGTGATTCCCCTGTCAGAGCCGACTGCACCAGGTTCCAACTGTAAGTTAGAGAGTCTACCCAGAGAAATCAGCTAGCGGCTGAACACAAAAGAAGAATGTCGTACTGAATAACAGCTTGAGATATATCGATATTTACCTGGTCAATTTTTAAAGGATCTCCTTCAAGCAGACGTGCATCAGCAGGAATGATGTCCCCAAGCTTGATGCTAATAATATCCCCAGGCACCAAGATCATTGCATCACGCTCACCCCATTGACCATCGCGCAGCACCTAAGAAGGAAAATTCCACAAGTTCACAGTTCAGCATTACGCCACCCTTGCGAAACCACAGTGCCATGTAAGGCATATAATTTACCTCTGGAGGAAAAGGTTGTAACGAAAAATTACCTTAGTCTTTGGAGCTAGTCGTGCCATGAGAGCAGCAGCTGCGTTACCCGCATTGTTTTCCTCAACAAAACTGATGGTTGAGTTGATGATCAGCAAACATATAATCCCAATGAAATCTTGCCAATCTGGAGGTTGTCCCTGCAAATTACCCCGATTGTGACCGTCAGTATCACTGCAATGTGGTATCCCAGCAATTTGCAGATTGGAAGCTACTGGATTCACAACTCTGATTTGATGCAAAAGCTTGGCGCGACTGCTTTTATGAATCTTACCCCTCCGTTCGCAAGAGCGATGGCCATAATTGCAGCAGCCTCCATGACCCATGACAATGGGTTCCACATAAACCCCAAGAATTTGAGGAATTTGCTCTCCTACAAGTTTGAGAAGCACCAGCGTCAGCACACGAGAAAAAACGTAAACTGGGACAACTGAAAACTGGCCTCCTAGAAAAACATCTATGCGATATGAAAGAGCTTGGGTTCAACCAGGTAAGGTGAATTATACCGATTTCTCCTCCAACTTGTTGAAGCCGAAGATCTGAAGCCTCGCTTCAGCCTCCTCATTTGACAGCCCTTCTTCAGTACAGCGCAAGTGCTGGAAGACCTCATCGACAGGGATGTGTTCCTGGATTCATTCCAACGACGAAGATCAGCAACCATAAACAACAAATATGACATCAGCAAGGACACATGTAGACGTACAGTCAGCAATTTGCACCAACAACCACGGAGAAGAATTGTTATACATCATCTTGTTGAACAAGTCACAAGGCTCTAAACTATTTTCATTGATCACTGCAATCATCAGGTATCGATCGCTATATTTCCAACGACGACATCTTCAGCATCGCTGGTGAAAAAAATTCTCGGATCAGGACTACTCCGCTTGTAAACACACAACAAGGCAAAAGGTTTAACCCCTGGCTGCCATCCAACACCATTCTCAGAATTGGACTGAAGGCAGTCAGAGAAGATGGATTGTCAAGTCTCATGCGCAATAGATTCCTACTTAACTTCCACGACATCAGTACAAATTCCGCGGAACTTAGCTTCATAAACACAGTCAGAAGCTACATCTTTGCTAATGCGCCAACTTGCAAAGGCGCAGCACAATCCAGCCCAGCACAACAAAGTCTAAACTTCAAAACCCTCGCAAACCAAACAAGTGCTACAAAAGGAAGAAAAGAAAAGGCTGGAATCTTCTGCGATAAAACCCCCCATCACAAGGTCCTTTCAGAGCGGCAAACAATTGATGTCTAAACCCATTCGTCGTGTCCACCACATCAACTCCCGACACTGTGTCCAGCAGAGACGCATTCCGGAAATACTAGTAGCAGTGGTCACCATGCAGCAACCCAACCGAAAAGAAAGAAAAAAAAAAGAAAAAAGAGACAAGGCATCCTCCTCCTTGCACCGAGAATGTCCCATTTATTCGATGGATCAGCGAGCAGCTAACAGCAGCAAACTCCCTAGAAAGAAATAAAAACTGAAGTGAGCAGCCGATAAATCTCACCAAATCGACTGTCTCGTTGTTGAGGGCCTCGAGGCCTGCCAATTTGGTCGCTAGTTTCTCCCCCATCGTTAAAACTCACGGATGCCACTACCGATGATTCCTCGGCGCACCCAAACAAAACGCAAAGCCAGGTCTAGCAGGGGGAACGCATTGAGGACACCCTGCCTTAACCCACAATGAAAATGAACAGCCCAGAGTGGGGTGCTTTAATGCAGCCCCATGAACCAGAGAAGCGAAGCAACCCAACGGAAAGGATCACGGCGAGACCGGGTTGGACTCAGCTCATGAAGTGCAGAGCAACAGCGATTGCGGTGCTTTAATACACCAACCGAAACCGGCAGGACAGAACGGTTAGCTTAATCTAGATCAATGTTCTCATGTTTAACTTGCTGAAGCGTGCATCGGGTGGTAGGTTGGCGAGGCAGCCGGTTGACGAGAGCCTCGCGGTGGTCACGGCATCGAAAGCCGCCTTAGCAATACTTCCGATGTCTCGTCGCGTGGGTGAATGTGCTGCATCTCATTTTGTCTGGGATGAGAAAAGGATTTGCCGCATGCTTCGCCGCATTATGCTACACTCGCGTGAATATCCTTAACCACGTCCCAATCCTCATCCCGCCCTGCCTGCCTCTGCCCAATCGCCCGCCCCGCACGGCGTTCGAGCTGCCCCGGGCACCCTGCCCCCTTTGACCTCCCCTGTTTTTGTTTTTGTATTATATTTTTTTTGTATTTTTTCAATCTCTCTCTCTCTCTCTCTCCCCCACGGCAACTGACAAGATATGACGACGCCCCTAGGGTGGCCTCCAAACCCCCCCTGCTCCTTCTCCCCTCTTGCACCCTACCGCACTCTACAATCCTATTATTTTATTTCCTTTCCTGTTCAGATTCTTTTCATTTTTGCAGTATTTTTTCTACCACTTGTGCAAAATCGTACGTGAGCTTGACTCTGCAGGTTTTGGGTCTTAAAAGCCTACACGACTTTTTATATAGACCCAATATCTCCCCTCATATTACCCAGTCAAATACTAATGGTTCATCATCTCGTGTACGCACCCTGCAGCACTGCAAGGCAGCCAAAACAAACATCAACAATAACAATAAATTAAAATTATTTAAAACCCATCCTAATTACATTTTATAGATCATGAATGTGAAAAATGTTTGTGAGCTGAGTTTATGAAGAAAGCATCAGTTGGGTTGGTCACTGGGTTTTTGTTTGCTGGCTCAGTATCTTCCAGTACTAAACCTGGAGTAGAAAGAACATTCTTTGTGGTATGGCCCCCTCCTCCTTAGAGTACTGCAAAGCATACACCTTTGTAAGGGTGGAAGCCTTTAAACACCTTCATGAGCTTAAGCTAATGCAGTGCATTGTGATGACCTTGATTGAGCTCCAACTTTCAAGACAATTATAGGCCACGTGGATGGGGCTGTGTGGTGCTGCAGGCACTTTGTTTAGTGAGTCAAAATTCTACATGCCATGTTGCTAAGCAAGCATCCCCCCCCCCTCCCATGTTAACAACCAACCTGCCCCTGCACCCCAGGGTTGCAGAGGAGTAAGGTACAGTGTCCCCTTCAGTACCTGCTTTCTACTCTCCATGCTTGATCAACATGCCAAATTGCCTGTAAAAACAGAAATGGACCCTGATGCATAACTATTTTGCAGTCAGAAAACAAAATGAGGGGGTATGACATGGGAGCATGCTGAAAAATAGACTGAAATTGCCCCCAAGCTATGGGTATCTCCAGATCACACATGCAAATCACAGCATGGAATTTTGGATGGCAATGAAAATTGCTCAGAGCCAATTGTAGGAAAATAGGCCATGACTGAATGAATCTTGCATTAACATCCATGGTCATGATCTGAGTTTGCTAAAAAATAAAAATGGTAACCATGAGAAGAAACTTCTTAGGATGCATGTTCCCCACATGTCACAATGGATGGGAACCTGTCACCTGAAATGCAGTTGCTGAACTGGAGCTGGAGCTGCAGCTTCTAGGGTTTAATAAGCCATGAGGGAATTCCAAGCTAGTCTACATGCTCTAGGAACACAATCCCCAAAACACTCACTCTGCATGTTCCTAATCATGGTAGTGAGCAAAAGAATTTGATGGATACCTATGAATCCACAAGCAATGAAACCCACTTATGTCACAATTGTGAAGTGGGCCCTCAAATAATGTATAAATAACCAAATTAAGATTCTTGAGTCCATCACTGAGATGCCCATTCTTTGAGAGTGGTGTGAAAGGAGAAGGTTTCATAATAGTATACATGTATGTACATGTATATGTAACATATGTATATTTCAACTTTAAAGATTGCCTTGAAATCAACCAATCCATGCTTGAAAGAAATTAATACCCTGACCCTGGGGTTTCAAACCCAAAGAATGTGAAATGGCATCTATTCTGGCTAATTATACAACCTGGAGCTCTATCCACAATGCACCTGGGGATGATTCCCAATTCTCAATTGATTTGGAATTACGATTTTGGACCATTTGCAATGGCAGACAAAGTGCCCTCTGCTACAGCTTATGTTTTTTTTTTTTCTTAACTAATTTACCTGTTTATAAAAAGGGCATACACATGACTGCTGCTGCACAAATCACAAAAACTGCCAATTTTTTTCATTACAAGTAAAGGGTGTTTCTGTTGTTACAATGTTAACATTTCACTGCAAATTTAAGTAAAGTGGTATTGGGGGAAAATATTTTACCTTTTAAACCCGTTGGTTGGTTATTATCAGTTAGGATCATGATGATTGTTTGAACTTTCTTTTCAATATTATTAGAGTGATGATGAGAAGAAGAAAACAAATATATGAAATTATGTATAAGGGTTAGATGGAGAAGGACCTACCATGTCATGCATGCATATAGATAAACTATTATGACATCCTTATATTCTGGAGGAAAAAGATAATTGTTTTAGAAATAAATGATGGAAATTTAAAGTTTTGAGTATTATATACAAACATGAATACGTTTGTAGAAGTATGTGTGTGTGTGTGTGTTCATTTACATGTATGGATTGTAGAAAACAGTAAGAATGAATTAAATATGGAATTAATATACATAATACATATCACTCAAATAATTTTTTTTAGAATATTAATATTTGTATTTTGAAACACCCTGAAAGACTGAGAAAGTATAACTCTTGTAGAATACTTGCTAAAGGGTATATTATTGCATTCACACTAACCCAAAAATTGTGTTCTGAATACAATTACAACTTTTCAACATGGCACTACAGAACTCAACATTGGTTTGACATTGAGCCTGCAGACTTTACAGCATGACATTGACTATCAGGGGCAGAGAAGGGTGGGTACAGAAGATGGATTCCCTTTCTCAAAATTCATGTAGGTGAACCAAGGCGAGGGCTAGAGGGACTGCAAGAGAGAGCCATGTGACCCAACACTTCCTTGGATGAATGAGCCATGTCTATCCTTCAAACTGAACACAAATAAACTCCATTTGTGCTGGGCACACCACGATCACAGAAGCCAACATGAGCTGAGGCCATCTGCTACTGCTGAGATCATGGGAAAACATCCTTCCTCCTGAGCTCTGTCCTTTCCACTGCTACAGTATCTATCTTCAACCATTCTTTTAAAGTAGTGCCTCTCTGAAATATAATGAACATTGCACCCATGAGGTCACAAGCTGGATTCTGCATCAAGGAATTTGGTGACAACTGTGGCATGAATAAAATGAAGATATTCTATCTCCAGTCTATTAGTTCCTATGCACACATATAGGAATGTGAATATACACATTTGCAGGCATGTGTATATATTTAAATAAATTGATAGATGTGGAGAGAGACAATGGGAGAGTGCAAGGTGCTATGAATCTCCTTGTGATTGTGACAATCTCTTCTCAGTGGGTTTACTGGTGGTTCTTTTCCAGCTCATCCTAACTTGAATAGTACTTGCAGAATGTAGATGGAGGTTAAGGTACCCAATTGCTTGACCAAATCACTGTCCTCTCAAAAATGAATTATGGCTTTGTTGGATTCTGGAAGCATAGTAAATGCAGGAAGCTATTCATCTCTATCATTCAGTTATATTCATGTATTTTTTAAATAAGAAAATATAATGTTTTTTTTTGGGATTTTGGGGAATCCTTAGGGGCATTACCTTTAGCTGTAATATTCCAGTGCATTTTCTCCAATGGTGGCCCAAATTGTCAATGGCAGAATAGTTGCATGTTCTCGCAGTGCCATCATGATATGAAGCTGCTTACAATTTTCCATCATGTCCAACATCCCTTCTTAAAGCAATGCACGTCTTGTAAAAGGAAAAATGTTGTTAGTGGATACTTGTAGTACCTTTGTTGCCTTTTTACACTTATTTATTTTCCCAATCATATCCTATGCCATTCCAGGGATAGCAATGAAAATCTTGAATCTTGACATGAATCATTCAAGAATCTATACTTTTAAGGTATGAAGTTGAAGGTCACAACTTTTCAAATTTAAAATTGTTAAAATTGAGAATCCTTGTTTGGTTGGCTTTAAGCAAACGAAAATTAGTTCAAACATTCTAAAAAAAAAAATGAGTGGCTTTTTTCTTTCTTTCTCTCTTTCTTTCTACATGACATGAATAAAGTTATTCTCTCACAATTGTTGATAATTTCATTTCAAGAGATCATTGTTCCAAAAATAATTGAGAAACCATGTAAAAAATTGCTACACTAACAACTAAAAATTAATTCAATTAAATATTTTAACATATTCTTAAAATATAATTACCAGAGTCAAACTTTTTGTAGAAGTACAACTACAAAAATCGGTTGATTTATTTCATAGCCTCTTCTCACTTATACCATCTCCAAATACAATTCCTCTTTGGCAAACAAAGAACCTTTGCAAATGGATTTGTCCATATAAAGACCCCTATTAGTATCTTGTTGTACCCAGAATTTGTTTTTAGTTGTGTTGCTTACTGACAAATCCTTACACAGACCCTACATTAAAACAGGCTAGAGGTTCTCTGGTGGCCCCTGCAGGAGCTAAATACAAGTTCATAAAGAGAGTATTTCAAGCAGGCTGTATGGAACAACAGAGAATTGTGAAACACTTCTTGGTTCTACTTGCAGAAATAGTGTGGCTTGGTTCACTTCTCAGACTAAGAATTAGCCCATGGCCCAGCATAAATGCCAGTCGACC